CCCCCCAAGCCACAGCCGAGCAAGATATCTGCCTGCCCACCTGGCCGCGCTCTTCCTCCTGTCCGAGGTTTTCATTGTTGTGAGCATTTCTGTTGAGGATTGGCAGCAGGGGTGGGGGTGTTTGGCTTTTATTCCCCCTCCTCGTCTGCTGGGTGGTTGCAGCAGGTTTTGGTCACTTCACATGACCCTGGGACACTGTGACCCTCATAAATATGAATCAGTTGCCAAGCATCTGAATGTAAATCACAAGACCCTGGAGATGCTGCAACATTCCAGCTGATCGGTGCTTCTTCTGGGCTCAGCAGAAGCGCCAGGATCAGTGATGCTTTCCAGCTGGAGCCTGGCGCTGATCCTGGCGTATCCGCTGAGCCCTGACAGCTCTGCAGCTCCAGCCATCTCTCGCTCAGGCTTGTGCGGTGCTGCCACCGGTTCAGCTCATTCCCCTCCCCCGCTACCACTTTTCTAGGATGGTCGCGTACCACCTATCGGGTGCCAATGTACCACAGGTGGTACCCGTACCACTGGTTGAAAAGCCCTGGACTAGAAGACCTCCAAGGTCCCCTCCAACACTGTTATTCGGTATTCTGTAAATGTCTTTGATCATTCACCTCATATCTCAGTTAATACAAGAAGAATGTCCCAATCTTCATAAACCTTTAGGGATTAGTGAATGTCCTTTTATTACTTTTTATTTTACTAATAAAGTAACACCTGCTGCTACCTAGGATTGAACTGTCAAACTTCCAAGTGGGAGGCAAGTATCTTCACCACTGGGCTACCATGCCACTCACATAATAGAGGAGATAGGACTGGAATAAGCTAATTTCCATATCAGAATGAAACTACTGATTTCAGAAGAAAGAATCAGGTTTTTTTAATTTGGGTAAATGAAAATTAATGAATTAAATGAGAATTGAAGATAATGGGAAAAATAGAAAAAGAAGAAATCATATCTCTTGTAGGATTACACTCAGTGCCTGCTTTTCCAGACAGGGATATATCTGAGTGCAGATATAATACATGTGCAACAAAATAAGATTCAAGATAGAAGGGCAGAATTTTGAACAATTCATAAAATAATAAAAGGATTTTAATCCATATCTGGTTCTACTACTCTCTAGAATGGTTATTTTCTTTCTGATTCTCCAATCCCTCTAGATTTTCTAATGTTTACCTTAAAGACAGAAAACTTCCTGGTCCAAAATGACTGCTCAGAGTTTGCATTTTCTAGATTTTGTTGGTTTCTGCCCAACTGGCAGGCCCAGTTTTAAACATCCTTTAACATTTTTGTATCTGAAGCTTTGGGGATAAAATTGCTGTTATTTTACTTCTAAAGGAGCCTATTTAAACCAATGGCTGCCATTTATTTGTGTATAGAAAAGTAAAAGACTATATTTGCAGTTTGCAGTGAGGGCAAATTTTCTTCTATAGTTTCTTAACAAGGATTTGTTGTAGCCATTTTTAAACATTACACAATAACCTGGCATAATGTACAACATATCAAGCTAAATGTATCCCATCAGTTACACGTAGTAGGGTACAAGCATCTTAATAAGCCTTTTGATTTTGCTTTCTGCTTGGGCCTTACAAAAAAGAGAGAGAAAGGTTGAAAAGCATGTATGGTTGGTTGGTCATAATCATCTTAGTTGGTTAAAATTGTATAGCCTGTTGTGTAAATGCTACATAAATTACAGCGGCCACCACTGAATATTCTTGGGGCTACTACAATACTTAGTCATTCAGTTTTTTGAACAAGAAGTCAAATGACGCAAGCATGGCTTGAAGCTATATTTGTACATGGTTATCCTTTGCATAGCTACTTTTTAGAGAATCTAGAAAAGTGGTTTTCCTGGATTTTAAGAAAGGACACGTGAATTGGAGTTGTATAAAAAGGACTTGGTGCTATATGTTCTGCATATCTTATCGAGCTTGTTGGTTCATGAAAAGTATGAATGAAATAGATTTGTTTGTTTGTTTGTTTAGATCTTTATTTAATTCATTGGCCAGATGCACAAGTCCCTGGAAAGAGCAGTCGAGAAGTCAGAGCAGAAACTTGGCAGGCCATGGAAGAATTGTATGAGAAAGGTAAGATGACTTCTGTAATGCATTTGTACTAGGGCAGTGGTTCTCAACCTTTTTAATGCCGCGACGCCCAACCGGTCGTAAGTCGAGGACAAAACCGGTCGTAAGTCAAGGACTAAACCAGTCATAAGTCGAGGACTAAACCGGTAGTAAGTCGAGGACTACCCAACCGGTCGTAAGTCAAGGACTTTCCCTGCCCGGGAGCGCCGCGCATGCGTGGTTCCGCCCCCTGTGCCGGCCGAGGCGTAGCTGGCAAGCGGCAGAGACGGAGCAGGCCGACCACCAGCTGGCCCAGCCCAAGGGAGGTAAGACACCCGCCGGAAAAGGGGAAAAAAATGGCGGGAGCCTTGCTTGGCGACTCCCGTGAAATGGTCGATTGACCCCAAATGGGGTCGCGACCCATAGGTTGAGAACCGCTGTACTAGGGTTTTCCACATGAAATATTCAAATAGGTTTTATTCTATCCAATTTTACTGTTATATTCTGTTTATCTAAATGCTGTTGTTCATCCTAAACCTTTGTAATATCGCCGAATAAGTACTTCACTGGCAGATTTCTTTGTGTTCCTACTGTCTTCCTTAAATCATCTGAATTGAAATTGCGAGAGAGCTTGCACATTTTTCATCTAGTGAACACTAATGTCATGGAAAAGAAGGGCATGTAATGAAATGGCAGGAACAAGAAGAAACTTCTTTCCACAGTTAGCTGTCTCTCCTCCCACCCCTAATTCCTGTAAAAGGACAGAGGTTTGGTATCTTCCATGATGCAGAAGTTCTGACATGTATCACTGTATGACTTCCATGCCAAAACGGAGTGTAACCCGTTGTCACATCTTCTGGTGCTGACTATAGATATCTTTGATAATCCCTTTTTTTGTCAGTAAATGTACAGCATGCTTTAGTATTCTTGTGCTGCATATGGAAAAGCATTTTGGAAAAAAGGAGGACAACCTCAACGGTTATTTTCTCATCTTTGTGTATGTCCTTTGAAACAAAGAGATGAATACAACACTGCTGACCTGGATTTTATGCACCACACCCAAGTGCTTCAATTATTCTTGGGTTTGTAGTCTCTTGAACATTCTGAGTTCTAGTATTATCAAAGGGGAATTCTGATAGGTCCCAAAGAAGGTTTGTGATGATGGATGAAAATTTTATCTCTGTAGCAATTTCGTATTTGTGGTTTTTAAGACATGGGCATTAGTTTGCTAATTCAGCAAAGGAGTAAAATTGAAGGGGAAGACTATTAGTTGTGTTTTACAGCAGAGTTCTCCAACCTTCCTGGGCTCGCGGCCTGGAGGGGAGAGCAGCTTCTAAATTGTTGTGTGTGTACGCATGCACACACGCAAATGGGGCCACGCCCTCTGGTGTACTAGCGGCCACATTTGCACATGCGGCATGTGCTGGTGCCATGTGCATGCATAAATGGCCGTGCACCCCCATGGTGGCTAGCGCCCGTTCGCGCATGTACAAATGGGCCATGCACATTCCCTGCACTAGCGGCCTGTTCGCGCATGCACAAACGGGGCGTGTACGGCCCCCACTCTAGTGTTCCCATTCGGGCCCGCACGCATGCGCAAACAGGGCCATGGGTGCTAGCGCGAGTGGGGAGGGAATGCGCGCCCATGCATGCGTACCCTGGCCAGCTATTTCTGCAGCCCGCTGGCCAAGAGCCTGCGGCCCGATACCGGGCCGAGGCCCATAGGTCGGGGACCCCTGTTTTACAGTATCTTTTTGGGTGAGGATTGAATTTCTTTTCTCAAACCTTTGCTCAAATTAAGTCATAAGTTGTTCTGACAATAATTCATCATGTTAGTCCTTCAAAATGAGAAATATCTAAATAGTTAAATGAGTTATACCAAGACATTTTGTAAAAAGCTGCATTATATGAACAAAAATGAAAAACATGGTGAGCCACAAGAATACAATAAGAAAAGGATTCTCAGACTTCATGATGCCATCATCCTCTCAAGCTTTAGATATAATTGAAGTTAGGGTTCTTGTCATCTTGATATCACAAACTCAGGAATCTACTTTACGTTATGCAATTTTTCCAAAGTTTAACTGAAGCCATTAAAAACTGCAGCAGGTTTTGGAATGTTAACAAAAATATTTTCTATAAGAAGAAGTCCTTTTCAGTAGGATGGTTAATTCTTGTTTATGAAAGATTGTTAGATTTATTTCTGATTATTGAACTAAAGACAGGGAGGCACAACTTTATATCCTTGATGATCATGGCCAATGAAAAGGGAATTCTTTTTTTTCCTCTTATTTTTCTCCTCTTATTAATGTTGCTGAAGTGATAAATCAATAATTAAAACAATAGTAAAAGCTTTATAGATAAAAGCCTTTATCTCTGAGGGAGCTGGATGGTTGAAAAATGTGAAAAATAAATAAATAGGAAATAAAATAAAAGGGATCGGCTGCATTCCTAAACTTATTGATCACACATTTCTGGTTAAGACGTTAATTGAGATAATACACTATTGTGCCCAAGAATTCTCCATGTCCACATTAACTTTTGAGAGAAGGTTTTGTCTATAAACCATAATTATGCATATCAGTTTCACTTGAAAAAGAATCAGTAGAAGTTAGGTTCTTTTATTGGCCTCTTAAGTCCCAGCTTTTGTTTGAACAAACAAGCCAGAATATTGTATTTCTCCTTGGCTATTGAGAAGGTCTGTAGTTTTTTGTTTGTATGCAAAGCCCAATCTATATCAGATTCACTTTGGGCTTTCCTTCCTTCTCTGTCTAGACAAACAGGAAAAATGTTAGATTCTGGTTTTGCTGCTTTATGTCCAAAAATTAATGACTAGTTTTCATGAATCAGCTAGATAATACCCCTACCTTTGCTGTTCCTCTCTATCATTTCCTTATGTGTATTGATTCTACTAGACTGTCTGTCTGTACTAGGTTGAATATTTTATGAGGAATTAAAATTGGATGTTGGAAGCTACCTTAATTTATCACTATAATTCAGAGCTTTTTACTTATTATGGAGCCATCCACCCTTGCATGCTATTTGCTATTTTCCTTCTTCTTACATTATTCAAATTAATGGCATGTAAATCTCATGTGAGTTAAAATAGCCTGTGTGTTTTCTGGTCTCATCTGCTCAACAAATCATCATTTTTCTGTCTTGTGTGAAGCTGAATTTTAGAACCTCTGGCCATGTGTTTCTGAAATGATAGGCAAATGTTAATAAATGTAGAGGTTTAAATGCAGTAGCCTGTGAGGAGAAAAAGGATTAAATAATTCATTTGCATAATTAACCACTAAACTTTCAGTTGACATTCAGATAATACTTAATCGTACTATTTGTCTTACGGCACTGATCTGGGATTTCTTGAACTGTCTTTTAATTTACATTCTTTGTCTGATTGTTCAGCCTTTGCAATCCTTACATATATCCATGCAAAGAGTAAGTACTACTGAACATTCTCATTTACTTCTGGGTAAATATGTATTGGATTACATTAGAAGAATGAGAGCTGAAGAAGTTTTTATTTCAGATCTTTCCTACAAACAAACTTAGGTACATGATGTCAAATCATATAGATTCCTTTTACTGAATTGCTAAAACATATTCCTCTCTCCTGGGATGCTTTTAGTTATGTGCTACTGCTCCAGAGTGGACATCCAGGACATGGATAAAAGGGTCTCCTAAACCAGGGGTCCCCAACCCCTGGTCCGTGGACCTGTACCGGGCTGCGGCATGCCAGCAACCAGTCCGCACAAACAAAGCCCTATCCGTGGGATGCAGGCAGCACACAAAACCACGCCCCCTCCAGTCCGCGGAAAAACCCTTTTCCACGGAACCGGTCCCTGGTGCCCAAAAGGTTGGGGATCTCTGTCCTAAACAACTTGGTCCAGTCAATCTCTCTCAGCCCAATTCAACTCACAGGTTTTGTTGTTGTGGGGAAACCAGGAAGAGGGAGGATGTTGGATATGTTTGCTACCCTGAGTTATTTGTAAAAGGCAGGGTACAAACAAACAAGTAAATAAATTCCAAAGTTGTGCTTATGATTCTGATATAATGCTGCTGATCATTCTGTGGTATTGTTTGCCATATGGTAGTGCGTATTGCAGTTGAGTATTAGATCTGAGTCTATATCTCAATTAAACTATGACAAATCTTTGTTGAAATGGTGCTTTACATCTCCCTGATTGACTATCAGAATGTATTATCTTAGTAATAGTAACATTATGCACACTGAATCTTCCCCTGAGCACTACCCTGCTTGCTATGCTCTCCTTCCTTCCTAGGATAACAACTGGGCTCCAATTCCAACAGCACTAAATTTTGATTTTTAGTTTAATGGTCATTTTAAAGTTGGAACCACTCCAAGATCTAAATAACTTTGTAAAATATCCTAGTGTAGTGTAGTACATGTTGAAATTAGCATAAAGAAAGGGGGTGAGATTTGTGAAAATCTTTTGCATTCTTGCAAATTCACCAGCAGGTGTTATGAAAGGGACACTAGACATGTCAAACCTTCACAGCTTGTTATCAGTTGCTGTGATAAGCAGAAGAGACTTGTTCATTCCTGTTATGTGCATCTTTTCCTGACACAGTGCTTTATCAGTATGGGAGTAAGCCACTGCTTATCCCAAAGCTCTGACTAGTCCCATGGCTTGTCCTTTGGAGCATGATATGTCATCTTATCCTAAGGCTACCTTTACTTACTTTTGACCCTGTCTCTTCAGGTCAGGCATATTTAAGTAAAACAACCAGCAGTGGCAACTTTCTGAGAATTTTTCAGCCATTCCAGCTTTGCAAATGTGGGTGAGACGTGAGGCAAGTGAGGAATGGCCTGGCAAAACCAGTTTCATTTCGAGGAGGAGCCCAATGGCAAGCTTTATAAGACAGTGGATATTGAAAGTCCTTTGTGGCATCTTTCGTTCCAAATATATTAGGCATACTTTATTACCGCTAGTGGCACAGCTGGATTTCATTTCCTCTAACTCTGCCCTATTAATTTATGGCATTTCCCCATATATCTG